AAGAATTGCACTTTAAGCCCGCATTTATTCATGTACCTCTATCTTGAACTGGTTTCACTGGAGTACATGGTTTTCTGTTTCTCCTTTCTATTCCCTTCCCCTTATTTTGCTTTTTCTTTCCTTGCAAGAGGACCAAAGATGTTGGAAACTGGAAAGGTAAATGGTTTTCTAATAATATTAGCCAAAAAGACACTGTTCTCTTGGAGAAAACCCCTGAGACCACAGCAGTTACTTTATAACTACTAAGGGCTGTGGCACTTGAGACTAATGTGAAATTTGGCAGCAAAACCATTCGACCTCTCATACCATTTCCTAAAGATCTGGGCTCTTTCTCTTGGCATCTCATGAATCAGCAGCTTTATATTCATTCCTCTCTCTCTCTCTCTCTCTCTCTCTCTCTCTCTCTCTCTCTCTCTCTCTCTCTCTCTCTCTTTCCCTCCCTCCCTCTCTGGAATCCCAGAATTAAGATCTAAAAGCACAGATTTCCAGCAATTCATTTAGCCCCAGTTAAAAAAAAAATGTAGCCAGGTGCCAATGGCCCATGCCTATAATCCTAGCTACTTAGGATCATGGCACAAAGCTAGCCCAGGCAGGAATGTCCATGAGACTCTTATCTCCAGTTAACCACCAAAAAAGCCAGAAGTGGAGCTGTGGCTCAAGTAGTAGAGCTCTAGCCTTGAGCACAAAAGCAAACACAAAAGCTAAGGGATAGGGGCTGGGAAGGTGGCTCAGTGGTAGAGTGCTTTTTGCATGCATGAGGCCCTGGGTTCGATTCCTCAGCACCACATAAGCAGAAAAACCTGGAAGTGGCACTGTGGTGGCTCAAGTGGTAGAGTGCTAGCCTTGAGCTGAAGAGCTGAGGGACAGCGCCCAGGCTGAGTTCAGGCCCCACGACTGGCAAAAAAAAAAAAAAAAAAACAACTAAGGGACAATACCCTGGCCCTGAGTTCAAGCCCCAGGACCAACACACACAGAAGAAATTTTTAATAACTCCTTTTCAACAACAAAAGAAAAAGAAACACTAAAAGTAATCTATATTCCAATGATCAAGGTGATGTAAAAAATAACCATATTACCAATAGAAATCCATGCAGATTACAAAAACATCAGCAAAGAGTAGAAGAAAAAAGAGGAAACAAAGCTCTAAAATCTCATTTGAATCAAGAAAAACCTACACATGTGAAAAGAGGGCTAGAAGGAAATAGGACCTGTGGCACCATTGGTTGATACTTCTTATTGTTTGTTCTTTTCTTCATTATCCCCACTTGACTGAAATGATAATACAGATAATGAAGATACTATACAACTGTTTGCAAAGATCCAAAGGGCCAGTTGCTACAGTGAGATCCAGAAGGCCATCGTAAGCTTTTCCCTTCTAGACTAACAGAAGTTGCTTCCTCCTCTATATCATTTTAAAGAGGGAAGGGAAGAAGGCATTGCCACTTACTAAGCAATCAGCCAATATGGTTCATCCAAGAGCAATAAACTGGCCTCCAGAGAAAACCAGTGAAGCTCAGGAAATTAAGACCTGGAAATCCCAACTGAGTGCCCTAATGCATCCCTCAAGAGTTAGTGCCATATACATTACACTTTCTGGTGTAGGCACTTTCTTTTCAATTTAATTTTAAATCTTTCAAGTGATTGCAATTTCACTGCTACATTCAGGACCAAGCCAACAAACTATTAATCCACCTTCCCTGAGCAGAAGATGATGGCTCCAGCAAACTTGAAGGGTGGCCATCCAACTTTCCTTCAAGGGCCGGTTGGCTAACCAAGAGTCTTAGACCTAGTTCAAATCCTTGAATCTCTACTTCACAACTCCCCTTACGTATCTGACCTTAGATTTCCTCACTGTAAAAGGGACCTTACCACCTAGCTCATAAAAGCTGTTGTAGGAATTAAATTAGATGATTCATGTAAAGGATGCTTGAGTGCATACACAGTAGATGATCATTTAAAGCCTGATGGTTGAATAATCTACACGGAGGTAACAGCTCCTTCCTTTGTATTTTCCTATATGAACCTAGTGGGTTAGAATGGGCAGTACAGTCTGTGGCTTTAAAAGGCAGAATTCTAGTTGGTACCCAAACCTGGGGCTTAGTTATACCAACTAAACTATCCAGGCTTAGATCATAAATATGGCTCAGGGAATACTCACTGAATTGTTGATAACAGCTAATTGGAACACTGGCCATGAGGATGGAAAATGAAGATGGAATGAGGAGTCACATTTGAGATAGAATCAATAGGATTCGATAATAGTTTCTGAGAGAGGCTGAAAGAGAAGAATCATGCCCCCAGTGCAAGACTGGGTTAGCTAAAGGTACAGCGTATTCATTCAATGAATCATTTATTGAGCACCTTCTAAGGGGCAGGCACTGGACTGTTTGGTGAAACAAACAGGGAAAACTGGGGAAATTCTTTCTAGTGATAGACAACAAATAAACAAAAAAAAAATGCCAGATTGTGACACAGGAAATACATGGGGCAGTGGAGTGAAGAACAAGATTTAGGTGGCCAGGAAAGGCCTCTCTGATGCGGTAATACATGAGGTGAAGGTGAGATGGGGCTAATAGATAGGAGGAAGTATTCTAAGAGGAACGAAGAGACTCGGAGATGGAATGGGGCCTTGACACTTACGTTCAAGAAGAGAGGAAAGGATTGGCAGAAGAGGAGGTTGAAAAAAGTGGGTAGGACCAGTTAGAGGAGGACGAGCAGGTTCTTGGGAAGAAAATCAGCTCACTTTCAATAGGTAGAATTTGAAGCACTCTCCGAACTAAATATCCCAGACTAGATCCTAAGAACTAGAGGCAGTATCATGGCTCCAGAAATTGTCTAGTTGAATAAGAATTGCCAGAGAATGTTCTAGACATACAGATTGCTTAGGCATTAAAAATATATGTTTCTTATATATAACCCTTTACCCTGTTGGTGAGAATATAAATTCTTCTATCCACAATGGAAATCAGTATGAGGGTTCCTCAAAGATTGGGTGGGTAAATGGATGGATGGATGGACAGAGAGATGAGTGGACAGATAGATATCTGGGGTGTCTCCCTGGGAAATTCTAATACAATTAAATCTTTGTCAAGACCAGGAGATAATTTTTCAACACACCCTGATAATTCTTCCTGGTCCATTCGCTTAATAAATGCACTGTACCCATTTAATAAATGAACTGTGCCAGAACCAGGCTAAGTAGTAGCAATAAAGCTCTAAACTGGTTAGGGAGCTTGCAGGAAACCAGTAAGTTTTAGATTGAAATTATGATTCATGCACACAAAAACAAGCTAGAAAAATATAGAACAGAGGCTGGGAAGGTGGCTCAGTGGTAGAGTGCTTGCCTTGCATGCCTGAGGCCCTGGGTTCAATTCCTCAGCACCAATAAGCAGAACGGGCCAAAAGTGATGCTGTGGCTCAAGTGGTAAAGCACTAGCCTTTGAGCTGAAGAGCAGAGGGACAGCGCCCAGTCTCAGAGTTCATGCCCCACGAATGACAAAAAAAAGAAAGAAAGAAAAATATAGAACAATTATAGGACCTATGCTAGATAAGCCTAAAGACCTTTCTTTGAAGAAGTGAACCTGAACGGACAGATGAGGAATACAAAGGAAAAGCCATATGTCAGGCTGGGGGAACAGACAATGGAAAAGCTAAATCTAATCTTTTGCTTTATTCTAACTTGATTAAACCAACTGGAATGGGTAGGCATGCATGATAGGGAATACTGTTTCATCTTTCAGTGTTTACCGAGCAGTCTAAACATCCACAAGCATGACTCACATGTCCCTGCTCTCAAGGAATTTGCAGACAGATGTAGGAGACAGATAATCTAAGGACAGCCCCTGAGTAAATGAAAACCTATCAGAGCATCATTCATGGTCTGAGAAAGCCAAGCAGATAGTTAATACAAATGTGATGATGTGAGCAACTGGGCTTTGTTTTGTTGGTTTGTTTTTATGGTCCTACCATCTCAGTGAAAGTTTTCAGTGAAATATTTTCAACAGTGACTATCCAGTAGACACTGTGCAACTGACCGATACTGGAGAAAATAGCATGCTGTTAACATTCACTGAGCACATAGATTTGACAGGCCTAATGGACAATCCTGCAGAGTTACTCACAATGGCCCAGGGAATAATGGACTATTATTATCCCCCCTTTTCAGAGGAAGAACTCGGGGCCCAGCATGGTGAAGAGGCTATTTTACTGAAGTCATTGGTCTCTGATGTGGTCATTTCCCAGCCTTGAATTCAGAGCCTCGGTTCTGGTCCTTCACCAACGGCTTAGCTACTAATGCAGTTGTTTATCTTGGCGCCCGCCCGTTCCCAACGTGGATGGCTCTGCTTATCCCAGTGATCCCCCCTGCAGTGCGGGTCTCTCTGAGGTCCTGTAAGGTAGAAAAGCTTTGAGAGGAGCAGATTGCTCTTGTTCCCACATTGAGGGGAAGTAGAAGGCTGCAGGGCAAAGCTGCGTGCTGCCTCCCGCGGACCGTGGGAAGAACAGGAAGTCCATGGCTAGCTGGACCGTGGATTCTTTCCCCTTGAATATATTTCAGTTCTGTGGGTTTTTTGTGGGTTCTTGTGACGGAGCTGACCCTCTTCAGCCTGCAGGCTGGCCGCTCTGGCAATGAAAGCGCTTCACTTCCCCGCTCCTGAACCTCTTCCCGCAGGCTGCGCTCTGGGCGGCTGGGCGCCTGTCCCTGTCCCGTAGTCTCTGGCTGGGCCACCCAGACGGCAGTGTCTGCTCTCTCTTTTCTTCCCTTCCTCTGGCTTTCTCTCTCTCTCTCTCCTCCCTTCACTCTCTTCCCTCCCTCCCCCTCCTTCCCAGTGGGGAGGCTCTTGGCTGGGGTCCCTGGGCCTGGCCGGTGCGGGCGGAGGACGCAGGACGGGGTGAGGTCACATCTCCCTTGAGTCCCGAGCGGCTAGCTTTTCAGAGCGTTGTGGCCATGGACCGGCAGCCGGAGGCCGGGAAGGCTCGGACAGCGCGATCGGCTTCCCTCCCCGCCTCCCCGACTGCGCCCATGTCCCAGTACGCCCCCGGCTCGGGTCTCGTCAAGGGGGCTCTGGGCGGCAGCAGTCCCGAGGCCAACACGGAGGATGACAAGACCGAGGAGGACCCGCCCATGCCCAAGAACTACCTGTGGCTCACCATCATCTCGTGCTTTTGCCCCGCGTACCCCATCAACATCGTGGCCCTGGTCTTCTCCATCATGGTAAGTGGGCTGGCGACCCTGGAGCCTGAGCTCCCTTTCCTGGGCCCCGCGCCGCGTCCTGGCTTTCTGCGGCTCTGGGGGCTCTCCCGCTAGCTAGCGGCACCTCCGCGCGCGCGTGCGCTCCTCGCGGGGCTCAGGGCGCTGGCCAAGCCTCCCGGCCGCTAACTTTCCCTTCATTTCAATAATCCGCTACGGTAAACTCAACTTCCAAAGTGCGGCCTTGGGCCTCCCGGTCCCTAGGCGCAGCCCCGCGCTCGCTGCCCCGCTGCTCCGGCGCGCGCGCCCTGGCAGGCAGCGGTGCGCCCCGCTCTCGGAGCGCCGCGCGGGCTCTCCCGGTCCCCCTGGTGCCCCTCGCCGCCGCCGGGCGCTCTGCCCCACTGCCAGGGCATTCTTGGGACGGTCCCCGGGAGACTCCCGGCGCCCCCTCCGGCCGAAACGCCGCACGCTCCCTCCCGGGCGCTTTCCTTTCCTTCCCTCGCCTCCGTGCGGCGTCCGCTTCCCAGCGCACTTGAGGCTGTGTCGCTCCGGCCGCCTCCCCAGGACTTTCTTGGGCTCTCTGGCCTTTTCCTTTCTCCCGGTGGCTACCCCCCACCTTTACCCCCACGCCGTGTACGGCCTGGAAACCCTGTCCTGGCCCGTTCCTAGGCACCCCTTTGCCTCTCTGTCCTGCGCCCAGGCCGTCCAGGGCGCTCTGGTGACTGCGCTAGGGCCTAGGGACTTCCCGGTGCGGGCCTCCGAGCTGCGCGCAGCCCCAGTAGCAAGGAGGTCCTGGCCTTACTGAGTGGAACAGCTGGTCAGGGTGGCTGGTGGGTCGCTGGGGTGAGCTTCAGACCGGCTCTGTCTCCGGACAACCCTGGCAGCTGCGCTACCCCCGCCCCTACCAAGATCTACCTTGCCTGCAGGAAGAAGTCAGAACTTCCCACCAGAGACAGCAGGAAGTCTGCTTGGTGATGGTGGTCAAGGTGGCGGCCACCTAACACGCGCCCAGGAGTAGAACCCAATTTGTCTCCTGGGTACCTATGGAGATTCATTTTTGCACCTGCAAATTGTACACACACACACCCTTCCACCAGCCTGGCTGTGTGAACCAACGTTCAAATGCACAGCAGCTGAAGTTCAGGCTGTGGTGAGCAGGAAATATTTGTAAAGCGCTTAGAACAGAACCCAGCAAGGCATCACCATTATCGCCATCACCACCACCATCATCATCATCATGTCTTCCTACATGAGACCTGATCACTATTCAAAATCAAAGCCCTCTGCAAGCTCTCTCTCCTCCTTCCCTCTTGCTTTTGTTCCCAAACAATTCTCTCCTTGCCACATGCCTCTTTATTTAGTGTGTTCGAGATCTCTGACCCCTGTTAGAATGTAAGCCAAATGAGGACAGGGGATTTGGCGGTTCTGTTTGTGGCTGTTTGTACAGTACCCAGAAGAGAATGTGGCATGTGGTAGGACTTACTAGATACTGTGACATGCATGCATGCAGGAAGGACAGAATGGTGTTAATGGCACTCAGTCATGATTGGCTCCTGTTATTTCCCCTCCTGGGTGCTGGAGTAGTGGAAAGCGGAAGCCACTGAATCAGGTTCCTTAAGACCAACTGGCCAACTTCCTCCCTTCCTTCCTCCCTCAGTATCTGGCCTTGGGTTTTCTGCAGAGGCTAGGAGACATGTGGCAGCCAAGAAGCTCTGGCTGGCACTGGTGCTCACTCTCTGTCCTGGCTCATTCATGAAGCTTTAACCTCCATGTGGTAGGGGCAAGTTGGACATTAATATTGCCACCCCATGCACCCTGGGATGAGGTTGGTACATTTTTCTCATAGAAACCTCTTTTTCTAATTCCCTCATCACCAAGTCTTTGTTCAATAGTTTCACAGAAAGAGACCCAAAACGGAAATAGAAAATTGACTCTGGAAAGTTTCAGGCCCTTTTTTTCCCAGAGCTTTAGTATCTTCATCTGTAAAGTGGAAATGGGAGTATTGTTTTGGTTTGGTTTTGTTGAGATAAGGTCTTACTATGTTACTTTGGCCTTGAACTCACGATGTCACCCAGATTGGCCTCAAATTCACAACCAACTTGCCTTGGCCTCCAGAGTGTGACACAGCACCCAGTTTGTGAACATGGTTTTGCATTAGCAAAACAGTTACAAGATGCAGTACAAGATGCACTGTGCTAGGCAGGTGCAATACCTGTCAGACACAAGGGTAGATTCAGAACTGGAAGACACCATCTGTCATGCATGAAAACAAGCAGAACAGCAGACAGCTGGAAACTACACTCTAAGCTTCACTCTCCTCAGGGAAGCAGTTTGGACCCAGGCTCGACAAGTTTCACAACAAAGATTCCCCAGTGTAAAGGACAAAGAAGAGGGTGTGCAGGGGGAAGGCTGTCTTCTCCATTTTCTGTTGCTAGTAGTCTAATAGCAGAGTCTGAAAACATTAATATTAAAAAGAAGGAGGTCTTATTTGGTCCAAAGTCAAGGGGTCACATCTAGTGATGACCTTGCTGGTGAAGTCCTGATAAAACAAAGCATTACATAGCCAGAAATGGGAAGCATGCCAGAAACCTAGCCACTGCTGGGCATGGTGGCACACACCTGTAATACCAGCACTTGGGAGGCTGAAACAGGAGGATTTTGAGGTTAAGGCTAGCTAGACTATACAATAAGACCCTGGGCAGGCAGGGCATGGTGGGGGAGGAGAGAGAGAGAGAGAGAGTCAAATAAACTAGCTTTATAATAGACCTATCTCAGAATAACTCATCAGTGCATAAATGGACTTATCCATTCATGAGGGCAGAGCACTGATCACCTCTTAAAGACCCTCCCCCAGCCCCAGTCCTACCTCTTAACGTCTCTTAGTGATATTCAACTTCAGTTTGAGTGGGGAGGGTTCACACTGTATTCAAACCAGACCAGCACCTGTCCAATCCCTAGGTATGCTCTTTTGCTAAAGTGTCTGTGATGTTCTGTCTTGGCTAATTTCAAATTTCAGGGCAAGTTCAGGTACAGCAATGATGATGGGGGGGGGGGGGGTCTTGAATGGGGGTAGCACTATTCCCTATGGAAAAGTTTGGAATGTCTGAGGAGCTTCAGTGGTAGCCTCAATGATCTGAGCTAGTCGTGGCATTTGGTCCAAAGAGCCAACATACTAACATCCTGTAGGGCTAAAGATTTCTCCCAATGAAGAACCTGAAAATACCAGTTTAAAAATACTATACGATAATGAAAACTGAGGGAAACATGGATGTGTTGAAAATATGGACAAGGCTGAAAATACTTCCCAGAATGGCAAAAAAAAAAAAAAAAAAAAAGGCAGCAGAAGCCCGAAGCTCCTTCTATAAACTTACAAAGTTGAAATCGATGCCACAGTATAAAACTACTTGGAGAAACACACATGAGAAGGCATTGTTCATGCAGAGGAAATCTGTGTCCTTCCTGATACCTCATGAAGAGCAAGACATCCCAGGCCAATAGTGCAGCGCCCCACAGATAAGTTCCAGCACATCAGTGAGTCCAGAATTCGACCCGTGTTCACCCAGTGGGCTACACATCTCCCAGACTGGGCGATTACTAACCCATATTGCACCTGCAAAGCAGAGCACAGGCTGACTTTCAGAGGTCATCTCATCCTTTAGAAGCCAGCTAATGATCTCCTCCCTAACTGGACAGAGACAGACTTGCTCTCCGGTGAGATTACATAGAATGACCCCAGCCTGCACTGACAGACTGGAGTTGCAATGCTGGAAATGGGATCCATGGAAGGTCAACATGTGCTGAACAGGAAGCTTTTGCCCCAGCTGATTGGCTCCATTTCTCTGGAATTCAGACAGGGGATTGGGGAATTTCTCTCTGGCAGGTGACCAGTTCAAAAGAGTCCTCCAGAGAACTAAAGAAATACACATCCAATTGTCCTACGGCCTTGCCAGCAGTGACAAGCTCCATCCTCATGCACAACGCTTTTCAGCATCCCACATCTGGTACGAAGCAGCAACCAGTGATGATCAAACCTTTGAAAAGTTCTAAACTGAAGTGTAAAAAAAAAAAAAGTTAATTCTAGATATTGAAGAGAGTTTAAGCAGAGATGATGGGCATGTTCAGAGAGACAGGAAACTAGCCATATCCACAAGATGGAACAATCAGAGAGGTAAAACAGAGTTCTCAGGAAATAAAAAAAATACACAATAGATTTATTTTAATAGAGTTTAAGTTTAACTTGAGAGAGCTTCACAAATTCATGCAAAGCTTGAAAATATGGAAACAATCTAAGTATCCATCACTTGGATGATGAATTTCTAAAATTGTGACATATACAGACAATGAAATATTATTCAGCCAATAAAAGGAAAGAAATTCCAACACAAGCTACAAACTGGATGTATCTTAAATACATTATTCATAAGTCAAAGAAGTCAGTCACAAAATAGCAGATATTATATGGTTCCACTTGTATGAGTAGTCCAATTCACAGACAGAATGCAAGACAGTCATCACCAGGGACTGGGGAGTGGAGGCATGGGGGATTGTTTAATGAAGAATTGTTTAATGAGTGAATTTCAATTCTGGATAGCTCTGGAGTGGATGGTGATAATGATCATACAGTAACGTGAATGTACTTAATGCCACTGAATTAAATGCTTAGAAACTGTTTAAATGAGAAGTCTTTACTCCAGTTTTCTGTGTATGAAACAGAAAATATTTCTATCTCTTCTCCCTTTCTCTCTACTCTAACCTATAATACTAAAATCCTTGCTAAAAACATGAAAACAAAAAAACTTGCTTAAGTGATAAATTATATATTACCACAATGAAAAGCAGAGAAAGGAAATGGTCTTCCCAGCAGATATAGTCAAGAAAATAAGTTAAAATTTGAGACTAATCCCCAGAAATGTAACATTTCGGGACAGTTTCAGAAACAAAGGAAAAGAAGAAAAAATGTAGAAATTATCAAATAACTAATACCCAATAAAATGGAAGAAACAAAATGAACACTAAGACATACC